CCGGCTCTGCCACAACTTTAGAGGCAGGTCCCGGAGCGCCGGGGAGCGGGAGCAGGACCCGCACCGCCACCGGTACCGGCAACCGGGAGGGGGGCATCCAGTCTCCGTCCCGGACCGAGCCTCCTCCCTACCCCGCCAGCCTGGGAAGGATGCGGAGACCCGGAGCCGACGGCGACAACGGGCAGCACCGGCCCCGGTGGGGCGAGCAGGTACCCCCCTCCCCGGGATCCTTCCCCGGTTCCCCTTCGCGGGGTCCCCCCGTCTTCTCCCCGTTCCCCACCGGGGACCGACGCTCCTCCGGGTTTCCCCACAACCCGGCCGCAGCTCCACGGGAGCATCCACCGGCGCCGCCCGGCCGGTGCCCGGGGCCGGTGCCCGGGGCCGGTACCCGGAGCCTCCCGGCAGGAGCGCGGGGTCCGAGGGAGGGCGAAGACGGGGCGGCCCCGGGGGGGGTTGTAGGGTATTTCCCCCCGGGGGATTTCCCCCCCGGACCCCCAGGATATGCGGGGTTCCTCCCGGGGCCGCGGGCCCGGCTGCAGGGAGCGGGTGTAGGAGGAAGAGGAGGAAGAGGAGAGCAGAGCCGGGGGTCGGGGGGAAAACCTCGAAGGGGGGGGGACCTTTCTGTTGGGCCCGTCCCTTCCCCAGCCTCTCTCATGACTCAGCAGATCCGTGCCAGTAATTTAGAGTAATTATAAAGTGGGAGTGGGCTCCGGGGTGGGTCTGGGGGTGAATTTGGTCCCGGGAAGGAGGCAAGTCCCTGGGCCGCAGGGATGGATCCTGGGGGAGCACCCTGCCCCGCCACGGCTCCTGGGACGTAGGACCCAGCCCTCATTAGGGTGTGGGTCCCCTTTGGGGTGCAGGCGTAGAGTCGGGGCGCTGGGGTGGGCTTCGGGGGTCGCATGTTACATCCCGAGGTGCCGGGACAGATTCCCGTTCTCCTGGGTAAACTGTTGGGGTTTCTTCATTATTGGCAGCGAGGGGATGCGAATCGTGGGCACCCCCAGGGCTGGGGAGGGTGGGGGGGGGACGGGGCAAGACACCCCCTCTTGTTGGAGCAAGACACCCCCAGGCAGGCGGCGCGGCCGAGGCCCGTTTTTGTAAAGACCTGGGTTGGTTTTTCTCTTTGGTTATCTAGCTGTATGAGTGTATGTGATATCATAAAGCTAGAGAACCGAATGTAAAAACCCGCTCGCTATTCTCCGGGAGAAGAGCCCTGCCCTCCCGGCAGGAGAAAGGGGCTCGGTGGCCACCAGCCTCCCCGAGGCACCGGCCCCCGGTGCCTTTGGAGGAGGAGGAGGAGGAGAGCGGCTGGAAGCCAAACGCGGCCGCGGAGTGGAAATTTCAGCGGGGTTTTTTGTCTTTAATCATTTTTATTGAGGCCCAGAGCTAGCGCCTATGCCTGGGTGATTATTTCGATTCCGACCCGGGCTTCCTCAGGCTACCTGCAAACCCAGCACCTTTATTTTATTAATTTATATATATATATATTATTTTATTTTTTTTTTCCGCTGTCGTTTTAATTTCCACGTCGACAATTAAGCTCGCTCGCGCCGGGTGTGCCGGAAAGAAATGAAACGGGGCCAGCTCAGAAATAACCCCCAGAGAAACCCTGATTATAACGAAGTAGAAGGAAAGTTGCTTAAATATATTACCGCCTGCAAATTGTAATTTAGCCCAAACCCCGTTTCCGAGGGTGGTTTATCTACCGGGGAAGAGAAATAAATCAGCGTCGGATACTCCGCGTCTGCAGAGAGATCGCAGCTTTGTTCTTGGGAGATGGGGGGATTTGGGAGCATCGCTCCGAGGATGCTCCAATCTCAGCCTCCCCTCTGCTCCCTCCCGGCCCCAATTTGTGGGGTCGGGGTGTTGTGTGCTCCAGCTCCTTCCTTCCCTCCGGCTTCCTCCGGCTCCTCTCGGTCCCCGCGCTGCCCGGGGCCACTCGCCGGCGGGAGGGATGCGGGGCTGAGCCCGGGCAGCGCTGGGTTCAGCCCCGATGATGGCTGATGCTGGGAGAAGGGGAAGGGCTGGAGGTGGTGACCCCGAAGGCTGAGGGGTCCCCAGTTACTCCTGGGAAGCTCAGGGAAGGGGGGAGCGGTGCCTTTTGGCCTGTGTTTTGGGGTGCAGCTGGGAGCGGGCAGTAAGGGACACCCCTCTGCGGCTCCTGTGCTCTCGGGCATCGGAGAGGCTCCTCAGATGGACCCGGGCATCCAAATCCTTAAACCCTTGCAGGATCAGGTCCAGACCATGCTGGCCCGGCCACCACTCTCCTGCTGGTGGCAAGTAGGGTGTGAGGACACAGCAGCCCCGAGGAGGGTGGTGGCACCGGGGCACGTCCCCTCTCCCTGGTCGCCCCTCGGGTCTTGGGCACATCGGTTCCCTGGCTGGGTTGGTGCTGAGAAATGGGA